AGTACAAGTCTTGAATAGATACCTAAACACATACCCCCCCCCCCCCCCCCCAACACACACACACATGCACATCAACACACTCACATACCTATACTCACAGCCCAAATACGCAAATGCATCCACATTACCCATAACTACACAGACTCACAATGTACATCACAGAACCACATATACTAACACACAGTACATTAGCTTTGGTAGTTATTATCTTATAAACTAATTTTTGCTTTTATTTTTGAGTTTATGGTAAAAAATAACAGTTGCAAATAAATTAAAAGAAAATGAAGGTCTACATCTTGCTAAACCAAACTGATTTGCACTATGGCATAATAAAACGTACAAAAGAAGCTTAATAAGAATGTGGATATGCTTTACAAAAGAAAGTGAGGGTGCAAAAAAAATAAATAAATGAAAATTAAGCACTAAAACTACATCTACCTTTATCAGTAAATAGATCCAGCGCACGTTTCTTATTTTGCCATAGCCAATCTTATACAGAGCCCATTTTAGATCGGCAAGATAAACCCAAGCCATGTAGTTGTGGAACTGATGAGACGTACTGTTAATACTTGTACATATGATAAACTGTCATCTAAGTGCATCACTTCACATACACACACTGGCGGTTCAGGTTTCTGTAAGTCTGTTTCCTTTGAACGGGGCCTCACTCAAAACCTGTAATTGAGAACTGCAAGGTGAGAAGTAAACTTAATGAGACAGAGTCGAAATCGCAGGGTGTTGGTACCTCTTCCTCTGGTCGTTACGGGAGAAAATCAATATACCCAAGCTAAGTAAACCTGAAATGTGAAAGTACAGGTGTTATAAGCTTTATATATTGAAACAGAAAAGAGAAAGTGAGATGAAAAACAACTATTTAAGTAATATCTATCAACTCACTTTCAAAGCTTGCAGTTGGGAGATGGTGAGATCCTTGATTGGTATTTCTAGAAGGTCAGTTTTGTCCTGTTCCTTTTTGCGTTTCAATGCAATGCACGCATGAAAATCGTGATATATAACAGGCACCAAGTCTTTGCTCAGCTGGACATCAAACTCGACCATGTCTGCTCCAATTTCTGCTGCATATTTGAGGGATGCGATGGTGTTCTCGCGGATATTTGCGCAACTGCACATGCAAATGAAAAGGAAAAAACACATACACATATCTATATATAAATTCCAAGACAAAGTACATCCATACCCCTCCTGTATTAGGCACCCCAGTACATCTAACTCAGACAGCAGCTCCCTGTATTACATCAACTCCTTTTCAGTATTATCATAACCCTCAAAGAGCTCACCTTTTTGGCTCAGAGTGATAGGAATTTCCAGCCCCTCTGTGGCCCACCTCCAGGCCTTTCCAGGTGTCCTTCCAGTGACGAGCATAAGAAACACTCATGTCACATCTGACTGGCATTGGGTACACAACCATATAGTGAACTGCCAAGAGGAGAGAGCAAGATATTAGCACTTGGAACTTTAAAATTCAATAACTCTATCTGTATATATCAGTAAGTCTAAGTCTATCCATCCAACTCTATATATGCATCAGAAACCCATGTAAAAAAAAAAAAAAAAAAAGTTCTACCTGTTAGCTGCCCAATAGCAGTGTGCTTGGGGGATGTTATGGGCAGGGTTGCCACTCCGAAGTTTTCCTTCAGATTTGAAGGCAAGATGTATGAACAACCAAGATAGTGCGGAAGCTCTTCATTTCCATCTTCTATATAGAAATCACAGAGGAAGGCCTGAAGCAAAATTTATGAAATATGTCAGCAGTGTCACATTTTATAGCACGGAAATTTTCCAAACCCTAAACTGGTGTCGGTTATTTGAAAAGAGTAAATTTCTAATTATAAATTGCATCTATCATAATTCTCAGGAATGAAACTATACTCTACCCCTCCTTGCAATGTTCAAAATAAAAGCCTGAGGAAGAACTGGTCTACCATAATCAAATAAGGAAATGATAACTAGATTATCTACATCTCCCAAGTTTAATTAAACACTTAAAAGAAAAATTAAACCTACTTGTGAACACAAGAAAACAGAACACAGTGCTAATATACTTACATTTGTTTCAACATTGAGCATTCGACACTGGAACACAATGTACTCCCCAGTGTTGCAAACAACCCCAAACTGTGGCTGCGGATGGAACAAACACTCCTCTTCATTCATAACCTGTTAAAAAAAAAAAGTTATGTGAATTTAGTTTCTTTTTTTTTAAGGAAAAACTATGAATCAAAATCTGTTGGTTAGGCATATATGATAATTTTCCCATTTGTTAATACTCTTCTGCATCTTCCTCAATGTAGCATAATGTTATATGCTGCTAAAAGCTTGTGAAAAATTATTTACAACATGATACCAGATACCTTCAAAATATTTGAAGAGACATGGTAAATACCTTAGTAACTAATCATAAAGCTATTACAGTAGTAAGTGCTCTTCCTAATATCTAAAAAAAAAAAAATAATAATAATAATAACATAATGAAAAATTA